GGTAGATCTGCATCTTGGCATGCAGGTTCATCAGATGGTCACAAAGACAGTTATTGCAGATGTGCCATTAAACAACTCCCTTATCACTATGTATTCTCGATGTGGTGAAATAAAAGAGGCACATACAATATTTGATAAGATGAAACTGCAGAAAGATGTTATCTCCTGGAATGCAATGATTGGAGGCTATGCATCTCATGGTTTTGCTGCAGAGGCTTTAGAACTTTTCGCTTTGATGAAGAGGTTAAAGGTGCGGCCTACTTATATAACATTTATCGCAGTGTTGAATGCATGTGCTCATGCAGGATTAGTTGATGAAGGCCGGAGTCAATTTAAATCCATGATTAGTGAATTTGGAATTGAGCCACGTGTTGAACACTATGCCTCCCTTGTGGACATCATCGGTCGGCATGGGCAGCTTGAGGAGGCCATGGGTTTGATTAAGAGCATGCCATTCGAGTCAGACAAGGCTGTATGGGGAGCATTGTTAGGTGCTTGTAGAGTGCATAACAATGTAGCGTTGGCCCGAGTTGCAGCTGAAGCATTAATGAGACTTGAACCCGAAAGCTCAGCTCCATATGTATTGCTATACAATATGTATGCTGACGCTGAACTATGGGATGATGCGGCAGAGGTGAGATTGATGATGGATAAGAATAATATAAGAAAGCATGCGGCTTATAGTCGGGTAGATTCTTCCCATTTCTAAGGTCATTTATATGCTGATTATATGAAGTTGGTGATTCAGTACCACAGAATCCCTGTCATTGATATTGGTTTCCTCTGATCCAAGTTAATTGTTAAACCATTTAATCAAATATTCTTGCTTGTATTACCCTGGAGATGGGAAACGACACAATCCAGGCAAAAAATACGGTGATTTAGACACTTAGAAGAATGGTAATATGCCCAAGACAGGAAGGACAGCTGTGGGCTAACTGAGTCTGAACCAGGTTCTACAGACACATGAGCTTCAATGAATAGCATCAACAGTGTCAGGTGTCAATCTGGTGGATATGAACCATACATGATGCTGTTGTCACACTTAACACTAGCCTATTTGGTACACAAGTCATTGTAACTGATGAAGATTAAGTTGGGTGACACCGACAGGAAACAGGCTGGTACGTTGTTAACAGAACCTCTAGTCAAGCCCTTATCTTTGAACTAACCATGGTATATATGTTACCTCTCTGTTCCAGAACTTTGAAAATTGACAATTTGTATTTTCTGGTCCTAATTTCTTCAGATTCTAGTGAGATTGCACGTCCAGATTTCCAGTGTTTGGGGCTTAAGAAGTGTAGTAGAGTCATCATTAAATATCAATGACAGGCGTGGAATTTTCCTGTCTTTATTGTTCTCATTTTTACCACTCCGGCTCTAATGTTAATCAAGAAGGCACCAGTGGACTTGCAGCATTTTATGGTGGGATCAATGCAAGAGCAAAAGCATTTCCTTTCAGTCTTTTCCAAATAGGATCTGCGAACTCAAGGGAGATCCTAACTAACAGCTGTTATTGAAATACGAGATGCATGGCCTCGACGAGTGATCTTAGAGCTCGTCACAAAATGGACAAGTCTCATGCATCTAGGTGGCTATTCTTTGGAATTTCAGTGACAGGTGCAGAATCTTGTTGTGACTATGAATTGGATTATTTATTTGAGCTGACCAATGCATGTTTGTTGTATAGAAGCAATTTTATGAAGTTTCTACTGGTCCGTCAGCTATGAATTTGCAATGTTATTTCTTTCCAATGATATGGAAAAGTGGCTGGAGAGTGTAAGAAAGATTCTATGAACCTAGAATGACAGATCACATGCGAACCAATTGGTATTTGGGTGCTCAGTCATATCTGCACATTTTAAGATGACTGAGACTTGCTTCCAAAACTTAGGTAGGAAAGTTCAACTTAAGAATGACCGCAAAAACCAGATGCTATATCTCATAACACCCGAAATCATGGAGTTTCTGGTCGGACAATACTTGACAATTTTATCATTTTCTATTATGACGGTTTTCTTGTTCACAGAATCACAGGGTATTTTGAAGTTAAAGATCCTACTCTTTTGTTTGAACATTGGAAAATTCCAGAGAAAGCTAAGAGGAAACTGTTGATATTGGAAAGTCGTTAAAAAGTCGGTTGATGTGATTGCAAATGTCGATGTTGTGAACAACAATTGAATATCAAAGCTACTCGATATGGTTTTTGTACTTTTACCATTGTCAACTTGTGAATTAGAAGACTAGCCTCACGTAAATATGTATGTAATTTATATTCCACGAGATTAAAAATGATAATTTTTATTATTATTTGAATAATGAAAGGGTGTGAATGGTAGCGGTAACAAAAATAATGACATTTACCTGAAAATATGAATAATAAAGACCAACTAAAAATGAAAACACAAAATGTAATCGGATGATAACCTTTTTTTTTGGAACATTCTTCATACTTGTGTACCCATCAAAATTTCACCCTTGTAAACATTTACTCTTTATTGAACCGTCTTTCTTCGCTGTTGCCTTCCGGTTTCCAACAATGGAAGATCACATTGTAAACATTTCCAGTTTCATCTTACTCTTTTTCGGAAATTCTTTTTCGCCCTTTCGGTTTCCAACAATGGAAGCTCACATGTTAACCTTGGCAACTTGGAAACGAGTAAAAGCAAGATACATTGTCCGTTTAAATAGTGTTCTAGGGTCTAAGTGAGATAAATTATATGATTATTACATTTTAGAGAATGATATATGTCAGTGGCTGTGCAACCACTATGCTTTCAACATGCCCAATCCAGAATCCAGCTAGAATTAGGAATCTCCTCCTACAAAGTGGTGCTCGATGTATGGTCCCATAACCAACAATTGGTTTTTGATTAGCATTCTTTAATTTTATATTCCATGTTTCATACATTACCCATCATCTTTTTTTGGTTTCCCCCAGCATCTCTCTCCGCCATTGTATCACCACAACTTGCCGGGAGGGAATAACTATTGCAGCAAACAAACATTTTCTTAAAAAAATTACTTGCGAGTTGCACTGCATATAGAAAAACTAAATATGTATCATGTTTGCTACAGCACTAGATAAGTGTGACTAACATACATGCCGTATACATTTATGTATAAGACTAAGAATGACAAAACTAGTGATTCTCTGCATAACGAAGGTATGACTGATAGGCACGTACGATAATTCGAACTTGCGACATATTTCAACATTGAAAGAGAAAAACAACTAAATTAAAAGCTACTTAAAACCTACATAATTTGATAAATTTGATAAACATATAATTCTAACTAATCATTTAATTGCGTAACATATGATCACATTTTCTAAACCTTAAACCAATTCTCCCTCTACAATACTAATCTCAAACTAATAATATAATAAAAAGCAAGAATATTGTTGTTTCTATTTTGATTTTCCAACAATTTTGTTGATTCTGATATTGTAACGGTTTTCTTGTTGTGAGAATCATAGAGTATTTTGGAGTTTCAATATTCTACTCTTTTGTTTGGATGTTATGAAAGTTCCAGAGAAAGCCAAGAAGAAACTGTTGATATTAGAAAGTCGTTCGACAAGTCGGTTGATATGCATCACAAATATCACAACTTTCTGTTGTGAACAACAATTGAATATATCAAAGTTCCTGAAATACAGGCTATGTATGTTTCTGAAGATCCTAGGTATTCTTCCTTCGATATGGTCTTGTCCTTTTACTATTGTCACCTTGTAAATCATCATGGATTTCAACTAGAATAGTGTCAAACAGGGTTTTCTAAGAGAAGAAATGTTGAACAACTGTTACATTGCAGATCTAGAGAAGGTAGAAAATGATATATTTGGCTATGCAACCTCAGTCATTTGTACATTTTGTACATACCATTTGAATTATGGGTAACATTCTTTTATTTTCTATTTCTTTTTAAAATATAGGCAAAATTGTAGCAATAATCCTTGGGCTAAGACCAAATTTTACTTTTCGCCCCTTATATTGTTAAATTATTACGATAGTGTTTCAATTAAATCTCATACTGCATCGTTGTTCTTTGCCACAAATTAACATATATAGAAAACTTGCATAGAGGGAAGAACCATGGCAACCATCCACTTGCGGGTTGAACTACATATTATGTAGTTCTTTGCAACTAAGAACTAATTAAAACCTAATGACAAACATATAATTCTAGCTAATAACTTAAACACACGATCACATTTTCTTAACCTTAGAGCCTTTCCAGCGGACAAGTCCAGCCCGAGGCTGGGGGGGGGAAAAAAAAAAAGGTGTTCCAGCGGACAGCCCAAGCCCGGGGGAGGTGTGGGACCCACCAAACCTGGGCTGGCCCGAAGACAACTTCTGCCTGAGGTCCAAAACGAGGGGGTTACTGTAGCGCTACAGTAACTGATACAGTAACTGCTACAGTACCCCCGCTACAGTTCGCTACAGTACCTCGCTGATTTGATTTTTTTTCCTGTTGCCACGTGGCATCGTCTGGTCTCTCCGATATGATTTTTTCCTCCAATCCAACGGCAGGGAATTTTTTTTC